CCACCCCCGGGCCCCCCCCCCCCCAGCCGAGAGTCTGAAAGACATGAAAAGAAAAGGGATGGACCGGGAAAAGGGAAAAACAGAAGAAGCAATGAATACAAAAGCCGCGCCCTGGTTCTTAACTTTGCCAAATTCTTTCTGCCAGGGCTTCTCTGGCTCGGGCTACACATTTTCCAGGACAGTGTTTATTCCAGGAATTACCCTTGGCTGCACAGGGCAGGGATGTAGGAAACCACTTGTGTTTGCCTGAGCAAGCGGTTCTGCGCAAGATACGTGCACGGCAAATACAAGTGCTCAGCTCTCAAGGTGCCCCAGCAGTGGGAGGCCACGAACTGGGTCCGCCGCCTCCCTCCAGACCTGGAAGATTTCCAGATTCTTTCAACTGCCAGCCTAGGTTGCAGTTAGGTCTGCTTTCTGCCAGTGTTTGCAAACACATTTGCACACCCTTGTGCAAGGAATGGATAAGGAAAACCCAGCCGGGAAGGGAAGTGGAACAAAACCAAAGACGTCTGTTTTTGATGCTGCCTTTTGCAGGGCTCACACAATGTGCTTAACTTGGTTAATGAATTAAACCCATTTTCTGGGTTGGAACAATATATTAAATTGTAAACCAACCCAGCGGGTTTGGTTCACCCGATACACTGAACCCCGAAGCCTTGCCAATAGAGATGATGGGGATTGTCATCCAGTAACATCTGGAGTGTCTCAAGTGGCTGAACTTTGATCTGAAAGGGCCTCTTCTCAGGTGAAGACTCGTGAAGACAAGGGACCCTGAAAGAGGGAGATGGTTGCTGCTTGTTTCCCTACCCATCTTGCACTGCCCTGACCCGATCTACTTCCCCACACAAATTAAATCCCTTTCATGCTCTCATACCATTTAACATCTGTATGCCACTGGGCGAGGTCATCCATTGGTTTGAGTTGTCATTGGTGATGATACCCAACTATTCACGCCATGGAAACCCTGGAGATTGTCACATTTAGTTGGATCCTACTAAAATTGAGTTGCTTCTCATCAAAAGACATTGGGGCAATCTGGTAGGATTAAAATCCTGATTGTTTCTCTCGATGGGATCGTGCTCCCTCCAAAGTTCCTGACTTATGGCACCTCCTGGACTCTGGCTGAAGCACCAAGCAGAAACTGCAGTCCCAGCTTCTGAGATGATTTGAATGCAGCAGCGAGACAGCTGGTGGGACAATCCTGCCATTGCAGAATAGCTCCAATTTTGGGATTGTTGCACTGGTGACCATTCTGGAGCCAATGCAGAGTGCTGGTCACCACCTACAAAAGCCCTACACGGCATTGCAGTAGTGTGCATCAGATACTGTCTTCCTAAGGTTGATTCTGCTCATCTAGTCTGAAGATGTGAGGGGATGTCTCTACGAGGAGAGTGATGTGGGAGATCAAGGCTATCAAGAGGGAAGGGGTGCATTCCAGGAGGGGAAAGGAGACAAGAGACAACACAGTCCGGAGCAGGAGCGTAGGAAGTGCAAGAGGTTCAGGGTAGCCACTCCCTAGAATCTCCCAGGGTATCTCCACTAGTTGCTGCAGTATAGTTTGAATTGGGCAAGATTCTGTCTATAGGGTGTAAGCAAATAAAGGAACTTTATTCGACTGGACCGTTTCACCGTTGTTCTTGGACTGGGCCTGACAGAAGATCTGTGGAGGGCCTACTAAAGTTTCCCTTTCCTGGAAAGTAAGTGGGGCCAACAAGCCGCCTTGGGGGTGGCTCCCGTGCTCTGCATTACAGTTTCTCCTTCCTTGTCTTGTGTAACGAAGCAAAACCCTTCGGGGCGTACAGTGTGCTTGGCCCTAACTCAGCTGGGTGCTGGGAGCGTCTGCGTGTCTTAATCTGCTTTGTCATTCGTTTGCTTGTTGGGCTTTATTGCTTCCTTGCCTTGCTTCACAATTAAGGTGGCCTACAAATATGGCAGTAAATAAAAACGATCAAGATTGCAAATTCTGTTTGCAAGCAGGATCCCCTTCCTCTCTTTTTCTCGTATGACTATGGAAGAAAACTGGGAAACTCTTGTTTTTCCTGGGAATCTATGTGCAAGCATCCTGACTTCTCATCTCTTTGTACAACCGTAGGAAGATTATCTCTAGCAGATTATCCAAAGCTACTTTGGTATACAGATTCTCAAGCCTCGTGATGTCCAAAATTTGCTTTTATTTACATTTCAAGTCAAATCACATGCGAACTCCCACCCCACCCCATTTTTAAGAATAGTGTGATTAGCAAAAAAGATGCATTAGAATTTTAAAATAGCAATTAAATATACAAAAATATAGCTTACAAAATAAAACCCCAGCAACTGTTTTCTTTGTCCTTTTTTCTTTAAAAAAAAAATTCTGCTGCAGAATTTTATATTTTTAGTGTACAAATGCGTCTATGAATCCAGGAGGATCCCTATGGTTCATAAACTCTCAAGAGTCACACAATTTACAAAATGATGCTGGAGGGAGAAAACAGAATTGGGTAAGAATGGACTTGGATGTTCTAAAATGTTTAAGGAAAATCATACGCCTAGGCTGTTATCGCCACCTCCGTGAAATTTGTGCCAAAGATCAGAAAGTTATCCTATTATTGGAGGGGTTGAAGGAACAGTCTATGCCAACGTTAGAAAAACTTACACTGATGCTTGTAATACTGGATAAGGAATCCCTTCCTTGCATCCTTTGAACAATTTGAAACTATTGACAGATAATAACACCTCCCCACAAAAAGGGGGATCAAAGTTTGGGGTAGCTTCCTGCCTCGGTTGTATGAAATGCACCATACTGACCATGGAATCAGCATCCAAGCTTTCTTGGAAACAATGAGGGCTAGAAACTTGCTCTTTCTAATGCAAGCAGGTATTTCCGGGAAGGCGGATTCACTACCGAAGGTCAATCCTCCATCAGTCTGTCCCGACTGACCTTCTAATGGAGAGAAATGAAGGGAAAAAGTGCATAAATCTGATGGAACTTCTACATTTGAACATGAGCTACTTGGCTTGGTAAACTATTTTCACCAAGTCCAGATCTTGGTGAGCAAAAAGAACTATGAATTGGAAAAGGAAGCATTCCATTCTGCTAGCTTAGCTTCTTCAGCTGCCCTCTGGATGTTTGGTGGCTGCTGTTCCCAGAATTCTCAGTTCCCAGAATTCTCAGGCCAGGCTAGCTGGGAATTCTGGGAGTTGCAATCCCACACATCAGGTAGTCACCCGGTTGGGGAAGTAATGCAATGGGAGAGGCTGGGATGGGGGCCCATCACAGCTCCCTCCCCCTCTTCAAATAAAATGATTGCTAAAATCTCACAAGATCTGGGCCATTTTTGCACCAAAGGGGAGCATGATTCTTGGCAATATCACATGAGATTTCAGGCAAGATATTGGTGCTTTCACAACTGCACCACCTTTCACTAATTTATTTATTTTTCATCTTGGTTGGCCAGTGTACACAACCTAAAGCTGGGCTGGAAAGACCTTTTACAACCTTTGCTCTCTTCCCAGACGAACCCCGCCACCAAAATCTGCCCATACTTCTTGCAAAACCCGTTAGACACTCAATTCAGGGCCCAAAGGGGTCTCACTTTACATTTGAAAAAAGAAAATCAAATCCACTCTAGTTCTGGGGACGCGCTTTTGTGCTGGCAAACGATTCGAAAGGGATTCACATTTGGGGAACGAGAGATGCTGTTGTGTATCACGGCAGAGTCCAGGGAATTTTTGGGGGGAACAGAACGACCGATTTCTCATCAAGTTGCCGACATTGGCGAGAACCTATTTCTCCCTCCTTCCCTTTTCAGCAGGCATTAAGGCAGTGTTGTCCAAATTGGCCCACTTAAAGATGAGTGAACTTCACCCCCCAGAATTCCATGCTGGCTGGGAAATTTTGGGATTTGAAGTCCACTCATCTTAAAGTGGCCAAGTTTGGACAACACTGCCTTAATGCCTGCTGAAAAGGGAAGGAGGGAGAAATAGGT